ATACATAGGTACACACAACATAGAATTCAATAGCTTGAAGAAATTGCCTATGATTCTTTGACTTGCTTACCTGGATCTGAATTCTTCCGTAACATTTTAAATCAATCCAGGTGTACCCATCTTCAGAAATGATGGATCCCAATGTCTCAGAATTACAGAGTCCTCAACATGTCCAAAGCATGTCGTGGAAATTATTCCACCATGAAGACTAGAATAGCCTAACCCTCTTCATGGATTCAGCTTGCTAGTTCAGAGGGACTAAGACACTCTCTAGCAAATAACTAACCAAAAGGGCAGGGAAGGGAGGTAAAAGACGTCATAACCAGGCCAGTAGAATCCCCTGGTCTGGCCATTACATGTGATGATTTCAAATGGGTTCTTAGTACCTTAATTTTGAGGGAAAAGAGTAGAGGAAACCAGCCAATGCTTTGCATGCTTAGTTTCTGCCTATGACACTGAACTCAGAGAACTGAGATCTTTGGAGAAACCAAAGATGGCTCAAATGACTCGTGATAATAAATGAACGTATTACTGCTAGCTGACAAATGGAAGTTTCCTAATTATAAAGCAGAACCAGCAGCCACCACCATAGAAAGCCTATCCCACAGATGGAGAAGAGGCAAAGCACTGAAACTCAGTCTGAGGGACCTACCCAGCCATGGGGGCAGGGCCAAATGGGGCTTCTTCAGAATCAGCAAAGCAATTTTTCTCATCAGCAAACCAGCTTCAGAAAAGTCTGCAATCAGGGCACTCTCTTCCAGGCCTAGAGACCCAGGGAAAGGGGTATAGGGGTATCCCAAGGCAAAGAGAGTCTACACTTCTTGCCCGGGAAAGGCTACTTCCCTCCCAAGATGCCTGAGATTTTCCACTTCAGCAGGGGGAAGGTAAGTCACACAGCAAAATAATGAGGGCACAGAACAGATGACCTCCCTATAGAGTTTTGAATCAGAAACACAGCAGGGCAGATGTGTCCGTTCCCTAGTCTAGGAGGAGCTAGGTCCAGCCCCTGCACATCCTCCCCATCAGAAAAGCTGAGGCCAGACCAAGAATTCATCAGACCAAGGAGCTACAACAGGACATCAGAGCTGAGGCTGCAAAGCCAGGACTGAGACCAGACCAGGCAGGAAACTGTCAAGAGCTTTGGTCACCAGGCCTGGCTGCCCTCCAACATGAGCTGGCGCTTTCCAAATTGACATACCACATGTCCCTAATATTCTCTCTTCAAGTAATACCACCATCAAAGCAGGACATTTCCCAGAGCCTTCTTCAAGCCTGGTGTCTGCTCAGTGGGACTCAATCCCAGAAGAAGCTGTTAAGTCACCCACTGTTTCAGTTTACAAACTTCTTATGACTTGGTGACAAGCGAAACTACATTCTGACAGCAACTGCAAGTTCCCTAGTACCCCGGACTTCCCGTTTTTTCTTGCTGTACCCGCTCCTGTTAAATCACAGACTCATCCATCTCCAACCCCCAGAATATAGAGAAAGAGCACAACACTACATCTTAACTCCTGAAACGTGGAGAACACTTCTCCTTCTGAGAGCTTAAGTACCAAATGGAAACTACTTTTCCCCCTTGGTCTTAAATGTATTACTAGATTCTGAACTGGACTCTACCACTATGTAGGAAAGCAGTCATGGGTGGTAATTCTGGGAGATCCAGATAGGACATGCCGGTCCTACACGGGTGGCATAGGAAGCCAAGTTGCTGCTTCCTCCCTGTGCACTCCCATTTGTCCGGACTCTCTTGATCTCAGCTGGTGCTCGCTTCAAATCAGCTATGATGCAATCCAGCAACTAAAGTATTTAGTTAATAAATGCTGACAGCACAGCCTCTTCTGGTCACGTATGCATACTAAAATACAGGGGAGAGTTGCGGGGAGGAGGGATATATGGGAAATCTCTGTACCTTCCTCTCGATTTTGCTGTGACCTAAAACTGCCCTTTAAAAACAACGAGGGGTTGGGCACGGTGGTTCACGCTTGTAATCCTAGCTCTTTGGGAGGCCGAGGCAGGTGGATCACCTAAGGTCAGGAGTTCAAGACCCGCCTGGCCAACATGGCAAAACCCCGTTTCTACTAAAAATACAAAAAGTAGCCAGGCGTGCATCTGTAGTCCCAGCTACTCAGGAGGTTGAGGCAAGAGAATTGCTTGAACCTGGGAGGGGACGGTTGAAGTGAGCCAAGATCATGCCATTGCACTCCAGCCTGGGTGACAGAGCAAGACTCCTTCTCAAGAGAAAAAAACAAAACAAAACAAGAAAAAACAAGGAATGAGCTCTCCAAGCAAAAGATCCATTGAGATGCAAAGGAAGGAAACTATCATTGCGGAATTGCGCATGTTACATTAACGTCTTTGGAGCAAGGGAGAGCTCATCTCTCCCACAAGCAAATTCCAGCCCAAGGCATTGATACTAACAAAGTGCCATGCTGTGATGTGCAGGGGCAGACAGCGTCCCCAGGCTCCCTACATGCATGCATTCCCACAGTTTGCCCTTTCTTGACCCCAGAAGCATCAGGCCCGTTCACCCTCGAGGGCCACTCTCAGAAGTTTGAATTAATGGCGATCACCATGCACAGGGAAGGCTGTGGACTTCTGACATAAAAACACTTAGCGGAAGGCTTGGAAAAACTCTAGTAGGAGCAAGACACAAGCTGGACTAATTATCTAAAACAAGAGACCTGGTTTGGGGATCTTAATGTTCTCAAAAAAGAGAGAAAATTATTATTATTTTTCATTTTGCACTTTGTGCCATAAGGCATTTTCAACAAAACACAGAATCTCATTTCTTTCTAGGGAAAATGATTGGGAGACCAGCTCATTGCTGGTACAGAAGCCTGGCTCAGTCCTAATTCCTTCATAGGCAAGACACCAGGTGAACTGATAGAGCCGAGCTGGAAGAGCTCTCCAAGGCAGAGACTCTGAGCCAAGGAATGTTCAAAGAGCTAGCATGTATTGTGGGATTACTATGCGCCAGGATTTTTTTTATATTCCATCATGTTCCATGTTCACAACAGCCCTAGAAGGGAAGAACTATTATTACCCCCGTTTTATAGGTGAACAAACAAGGGCACAGATCCCTGATGTAACAGCCAGGATCAAACAGCTGGGAAGACGAGAAAATCTTTCCCAGGCTAGGATAACAGAGGGTTTGGTTGAAAATAGAGGCGATTAGGTGCTACCTCTGAAAAAAGGAGCCAGGATGGGAAGGAGACATTTTTCCCTGTATGCCCTGATGTCCTATTTGAACATTTTATCATGAACACGAACTTCCTATTTTAAAAAACACTTTTTATTGAAAAGATAAATCTGTGTGTTGTATTATGTCACTCAGTTCAAGTACTTGAAATTTATTGAATTGTATTTTCTAAAAAATAGATATTTGAGCAAAAGCAATCTCACATTACATAGACAGAACACAACGCACGGCTGCAGAGCTGAGAGCAGTGACTTCGTTTCATGCAGGAAAGAGAACTTGGTTCAGGAGCGTCTACGTTGCTTAAGACCAGAGAGCACTAAAAGTGAAACCATCCAGCCATCCTCCCCCATTTTCATTTTCACACCAAAAAATCCCACCGCGGCAGAAGACCACTGTCTCTCTGTTTAGACAATCGGTGAAGAATGGATGACCTCACTTTCCCCAACAGGCGGGTCCTGAAATGTTATGCACAAAACAAAACTTGAGTAAATGCCCAACAGAGGTCACTGTTTTATCGATCTTGAAGAGATCTCTTCTTAGCAAAGCAAAGAAACCAATTGTGAAGTTAACACCATGTTTGGTAAATAAGTGTTTTGGTTTTGTGCAAGGGTCTGGTTTCAGCCTGAAGCTATCTCAGAGTTGTCTGGGTCTCTGGAGACTGCAGGGACAGCCTAGTCTAGAGCCCATTTGCATGAGACCAAGGATCCTCCTGCAAGAGACACCTTCTGAGGGAAGACGGCTTCTGAACAAGCTTGACCCAATAAGAAATCTTTGGGTGCCAGTGGGGAAGCAGGTTCACAGCCCAGAGCCGTGCCTACGTCCATACTTTCCTTGTAGCTTCTTCTGATTTCAAATCAAGACTTACAGGGAGAGGGAGCTATAAACACAAGCTCTAGAAGATGCCACAAGGTCCTCCTTTGACATCCCCAACAAAGAGGTGAGTTGCATTCTCCCCCTTTCTGCCCTGAACCAAGTGGGCTTTAGTAATTTCAGGGCTGCAGGAGACCCAGTGGAACAGTGGTGAAGAGACTCAGGTGGCAATGGGGAGAGCACTGGCAGCACAAGGCAAGCCTCTGGCACAGAGAGCAAAGTCCTCACTGGCAGGATTCCCAAGGGGTCACTTGGGAGAGGGCAGGGTAGCAGCCAACCTCCTCTAAGTGGGTTGAAGCAGGTGAAGAGGAAAGTGGCAGAAGCCATGCGGTGGCAAAAAGGAGTCACACACTCCACCTGGAGACGCCTTGAAGTAACTGCACGAAATTTGAGGGTGGCCAGGCAGTTGTACAACAGCTGCTCACAGGGAGAGCCAGAACACAGAAGAACTCAGACGACTGGTAGCATTACCTTCTTTCTAACTCCAGGCTGGGGGGCTGCGATGGAGTCAGAGGAAACTCAGTTCAGAACATCTTCGGTTTTTACAAATACAAATTAACTGGAATGCCAAATTCTAGCCTGTTAATCTGGTCACTGAATTTTTTTTTTTTTTTTCAAAAAACATAGCTTTAGCTTATTTTTTTTCTCTTTGTAAAACTTCGTGCATGACTTCAGCTTTACTCTGTCAAGACATGCCAAAGTGCTGAGTCACTAATAAAAGAAAAAAAGAAAGTAAAGGAAGAGTGATTCTGCTTCTTAGCGCTAGCCTCAGTGACGACCTAAGCTGCACTTTTCCCCCTAGTTGAGTCTTGCGATGCTAAAGGACGTCACATTGCACAATCTTAATGTTTCCAATCAGCCCCACCCGCTCTGGCCCCACCCTAACCCTCCAACAAAGATTTATCAAATGTGGGATTTTCCCATGAGTCTCAATATTAGAGTCTCAACCCCCAATAAATATGAGACTGGAGATGTCTGAGGCTCATTCTGCCCTCGAGCCCACCAGGAACGTAAGAGAAGCTCTATCTGCCCTCCAGGAACCCAGATATGAACTCCGTCTCCACAAGTAAGTGCAGGAAATCCCTAGCCCTGGAACGGCCAGCGGCGGTCGAGCCCTGTGTGAGGGAGGGGTGTGTGGCCCAGGGAGGGCTGGCGGGCGGCCAGGAGCAGAGGCAGGCTCCCAGCTGTGCTGTCAGCTCACCCCGCCGCTCGCTCCCCTCCGGCACAGGCGCCTTCGGTCCAGTTGCCTTCTCCCTGGGGCTGCTCCTGGTGTTGCCTGCTGCCTTCCCCGCCCCAGTACTCCCAGGAGAAGATTCCAAAGATGTAGCCGCCCCACACAGCCAGCCACTGACCTCTTCAGAACGAATTGACAAACACATTCGGTACATCCTCGACGGCATCTCAGCCCTGAGAAAGGAGGTGGGTAGGCTTGGCAAAGGGGCTGAATGGCCCGTGTGCGCATGCGTTCCCCTTGCCCCTGTCTGTGGACTGGGGCTGCCCGCATTAGGAGGTCTTTGCTGGGTTCTAGGGCACTGTAGATTTCAGGCCAATGGGGCCGACTAGACTGACTTCTGTATTTATCCTTTGCTGGTCTCAGGAGGTTCCTTTCCTTTCTGGAAAATGCAGAATGGGTCTGAAACCCATGCCCACCCTTGGCATGAGCTGAGGGTCATTGCTTCTCAGGGCTTCCTTTTCCCTTTCCAAAAAATAAGGTCTGTTAAGCTCCTTTTTGTCCCTTGGGCTTTGGAAGGACTAGAAAAGTGCCACCTGAAAGGTATGTTCAGCTTCTCAGAGCAGTTGCAGTACTTTTTGCTTATGTAAACTCAATGGTTAGGATTCCTCAAAGCCATTCCAGCTAAGATTCATACCTCAGAGCCCACCAAAGTGGCAAATCATAAATAGGTTAAAGCACCTCCCCACTTTCAATGCAAGGTATTTTGGTCCTGTTTGGTAGAAAGAAAAGAACACAGGAGAGGAGATTGGGAGCCCACACTCGAATTCTGGTTTTGCCAAACCAGCCTCGTGATCTTGGGTAAATTCCCTACCACCTCTGGACTCCATCAGTAAAACTGGGGGTGGACTAGGTGATCTCATAGGTCCTTCCAGCTGGAACATTCTATGGTTTGAATTATATTCACCTAACTATTGTCAAAATTGCTGTTATTAAATATCTACTGTGTGCCAGGCACTTTAAATAAGTATTGTGTCTAATCTTCAAAATTTGCAAGGAAGGTTTTTGGAGATAAGGAAACTGAGACTCAGGATTAAGTAACACACCTGAAGTCACAGGTGAGCTTGGAACTGAACCCAAGTGTGCCCCCACTCCACTGGAATTTGCTTGCCAGGATGCCAATGAGTTGTGGCTTCATTTTTCTTAGAGACTTTCCTGGCTGTGGTTGAACAATGCAAAGGCCCTCTAGTGGTGTTTGTTATAGGGGCACTTACGTGATAACGATTCTGGTATTCTTTCCCAGACATGTAACAGGAGTAACATGTGTGAAAGCAGCAAAGAGGCACTGGCAGAAAACAACCTGAACCTTCCAAAGATGGCTGAAAAAGATGGATGCTTCCAATCTGGATTCAATGAGGTACCAACTTGTCACACTCACTTTTCACTATTCCTTAGGCAAAACTTCACCCTCTTGCTTGCAGTGCCTGTATACATATAGATCCAGGCAGCAATAAAAAGGGGGTAAATGTAAAGAATGTTATGTAAATTTCATGAGGAGGCCAACTTCAAGCTTTTTTAAAGGTAGTTTATTCTTGGACAGGTATGGCCAGAGATGGTCCCACCGTGTTGAGATTTTAACAACTGTCAAATGTTTAAAACTCCCACAGGTTTAATTAGTTCATCCTGGGTAAGGTGGTCTCAGGGCCTTTTCCCTCTCTGGCTGCCCCTGGCAGGGTCCAGGTCTGCCCTCCCTCCATGCCCAGCTCATTCTCCACAGTGAGATAACCTGCACTGACTTCTGATTATTTTATAAAAGGAGGTTCCAGCCCAGCATTGACAAGGGCAAGAGTGTAGGAAGAACATCAAGGGGGAGAATCAGAGAGGAATCCCCACTGCCACATTCTAGCATGTGTTGGGCTTTGGGTAAAACTAATTACATGGGGCCTCTGATTGTCTGGTTATTTAAAATGATGCTGTCCAATGTCCCAAAACATGCTGCCTAAGAGGTACTTGAAGTTCTCTAGATGAGCAGGGGGAAAATATGTCAAATTGTGGCAGTTTTAACTTTTCAAATTGATTCTATCTCCTGGCGATAACCAGTTTTCCCACCATCTTTCCTCTTAGGACACTTGCCTGGTGAAAATCATCACTGGTCTTTTGGAGTTTGAGGTATACCTAGAGTACCTCCAGAACAGGTTTGAGAGTAGTGAGGAGCAAGCCAGAGCTGTGCAAATGAGTACAAAAGTCCTGATCCAGCTCCTGCAGAAAAAGGTGGGTGTGTCCTCCTTCCCTCACCTTGGTATGGGAGAAGACAGGCTCAAAGACAGTGTCCTGGACAACTCAGGGATGCAATGCCACTTCCAAAAGAGAAGGCTACATGTAAACAAAAAAGTCTGAGAAATAGTTTCTGATAGTTACTGTTAAATCTTTTTTTGTTTGGTTGGCTCTCTTCTGCAAAGGACATCAATAACTATACTTTAAACTATATTAACTGAGGTGGATTTTAACAGCAATTTTTAATAGTGCAAGAGATTAAAAAAAAAAAAGGGGGGGGGCAGAAAGAAGTACATCCATCCCCACCCAGTGATCCACAGAAACAAAAACCAAGGGGCATAAAATGATTTTAAGATTTTAGTTATTGTCAAGCGGCATTCTTCTCATTGTAGTTGTTTCAACTCTTTTTCCTACCTTTTACCAGAGAGTTAGTTCAGAGAAACGGTCAGAGACTCAAGGCTGGAAAGAGGTACCAAGGGCTTTAGCCACCAGTAGCTGGCTATTCAAACAGCAGGGAGTAAAGAGTTGCTGGCTAGCATGTGGAGGAGCCAAAGCTCAATAAGTAGGGGCCTAGAAGGAAACCCTTGGTGCTGATCCTGCCTCTGCCATTTCTACTTGTTTGCCTTAAGCCAGGGTTTCTCCTATGTGAACGTGCATGGGAATTCCCTGGGCATCTTGTTGTGGTGTAGAGTCTGACTTGGCAGGCCTTGGGTGGGTTTGAGGGTCATATTTCTAGCAGGCTTATATCCCTGGTGATGCTGCAGAATTCCAGGACCACACTTGGAGGTTTAAGGCCTTCCACAAGTTACTTATCCCGTCTGGTGGGTCTATGGAAAGATGTTTCCCAGTCCTCTTTACACCACCAGATCACTGGTCTTTCGACAGATCCTAAAGGGACGGTGAGAGGGAAACTGGAGAAAAGTATTAGATTTAGAGGCCACTGAAGAACTCATATTAAAATGCCTTTAAGTATGGGTTCTTCATTCATATACTAAATATGAACTATGTGCCAGGCATTATTTCATATGACAGAATACAAACAAATAAGATAGTGATGCTGGTCAGGCTTGGTGGTTCATGCCTGTATTCCCTAAACTTTGGGAGCCTAAGGTGAGAACTCCTTGAACTCCTAAGGCCAGGAGTTCAAGACCAGCCTGGACAACATAGCGAGACCCCATTGCTACAAAAACACAAAACCAAACAAACAAAAAGATAGTGGTGCTTCCTTCAGGATGTTTGTGGTCTAATGGGAGACAGAACAGCAAAGAGATGATTAGAAGTTAGTTGCTGTGAGCCAGGCACAGTGCTGATATAATCCCAGCACTTTGGGAGGCTGAGGTGGGTGGATCACTTGAGGCCAGGAGTTTAAGACCAGCCTGGCCAACAATGTAAAACCCCATCTCTACTTAAAAATACAAAAAAATTACCCAGGCATGGTGGCGCACACCTGTAACCCAGCTACTCAGGAGGCTGAGGCACATGAATCGCTTGAACCCGGGACACGGAGGTTGCTCCACTGCACTCCAGCCTGGGTGACAGAGTGAGCCCTGCCTCAAAAAAAAAAAAAAAAAAAAGAAGAAGTTCATTGCTATGGAAGGATCCTACTCAGAGCAGGCACCCCAGTTAATCTCATTCACCCCACATTTCACATTTGAACATCATCCCATAGCCCAGAGCATCCCTCCACTGCAAAGGATTTATTCAATATTTAAACAATCCTTTTTGCTTTCATTTTCCTTCAGGCAAAGAATCTAGATGCAATAACCACCCCTGAACCAACCACAAATGCCAGCCTGCTGACGAAGCTGCAGGCACAGAACCAGTGGCTGCAGGACATGACGACGCATCTCATCCTGCGCAGCTTTAAGGAGTTCCTGCAGTCCAGCCTGAGGGCTCTTCGGCAAATGTAACATGGGCACCTCAGAGTGTTGTTGTTCATGGACATTCCTTCTTCTGGTCAGAAACCTGTCCACTGGGCACAGAACTTATGTTGTTCTCTATGGAGAACTAAAAGTATGAGCGTTAGGACACTATTTTAATTATTCTTAATTTATTAATATTTAAATATGTGAAGCTGAGTTAATTTATGTAAGTGATATTTATATTTTTATGAAGTACCACTTGAAATATTTTATGTATTAGTTTTGAAATAATAATGGAAAGTGGCTATGTAGTTTGAATATCCTTTGTTTCAGAGCCAGATCATTTCTTGGAAAGTGTAGGCTTACCTCAAATAAATGGCTAACTTATACATATTTTTTAAAGAAATATTTATATTGTATTTATATAATGTATAAATGGTTTTTATACCAATAAATCACATTTTTAAAAATTCAGCAACTTAGTCTGTGTGTGTCACGTGAAGCTCAATAAAAACAAGTTTCATGTCACTGCCACCACCACCACCAAAAAAAAGCTATAATCAATCACATTTTATATATATATATACACACACATATAAGCACCTACTACATGCCAGGCATCATTAAAGGTGTTGCATCCATCACGTCATTTAACCCCAGCACTTGCACACTGCTTTCTGGTTGTGGAAGTCTAAGTGATTTATCTCAGTCACCCAGCTGGAAGGTCAGGCAGGGGCCCAGATTTGAAATCCAAGTCTACCTACCTACAGGTCCCCTACTCTTAACTTGTAAGTCCCATTGCCTCCCAGGAACTGAGGGATGATGTAGAAAATTCCAAAACATGTTAATATAGGGAATATCTATAAACATGCGATCAAAGTCTTTGGGACTATACAACCACTGTATAAGGCATAACAATGTACAAGCTTCCAAATAATAACTAGAAGTTCTGCCTCCCTCTTCTGGGTTCCTAAAGCACTGCACCTATCTACCTGTCAAAGCATCTACTACATTGTACCACACCTTAAAATCAACGGTTTTTTTCGTCTCAGCCAGCATGTGGATGCCTCAAGAGAGCAGACTCCTTTCATGACTTAAAACTAATTTCAGGGGGAAAAAAAAGACAAGACAGGCACAGTGGCTCACGCCTATAATCCCAGCACTTTGGGAGGCTGAGGCAGGAGGATCACTTGAGGTCAGGAGACCAGCCTGGCCAACATGGCAAAATCCCATCTCTACTAAAAATACAAAAATTAGCTGGGTGTGGTGGCACACCTATAATCCCAGCTACTCAGGAAGCTGAGACATGATAATCACTTGAGCCCGGGAGGTAGACCCTGGGGCTGCACTCCATCCTGGGCAACAGAGGGAGATTCTGTCTCAAATAATAATCAGTAATTTTTTTAAAAAAAGACTCTTTCCTATATTAATCTTTGCATCCTATACCCATGGCCCCAAGCCTGACCAATGAAGGCCCCAGTAAATATTTTTTGAGCAAAAAAAAAATATATAGATGATCAAAGATAAGAAAGATAGGAAGACACCTCAATTCTTGTAGTCATATAGTGTTAGGGGAAATCACTAATTCTGTGTTTTTATGTATCTTCATCTTAAGGAAAAATAGCAATTAGAAAGAAACATTCAAAGGACTTCCAGAGAAGGCAATGAATAGCCAGTGCATGTATACCTACCTCCATTTCCTTTGCCACCGGCAGTAATCTTCATCTGCCCTCTCCCCTCCCCCACCTAGAGTGGTAGTGAGAGAGGCAATCTGGACAACTTAACATGGCCTCGCTTATCCATCTCAACACGACACTGGGAATTTGGTGCAGATTTCCCCTTTCTAACCCCTGCAGTATAAAAGTTCTGTCTCCTTATAAAGCTTTTCCCCACCCTACCCGCTACAGACTTCTTCCTCCAGGGGAGGAGTTCTTCTGGGTAAGGGAAAGTCCACAGAGGTCAAAAACCGAGAGGAGCTGAGCCAGAAAAGAGCCACATACTCTGATTTCTAGAAACCACGCATCACAAGTGGGCTTCCCAAAACTAGGGTCAAGTCAAAGAACAAAGAGAAATTGCGGTCAACTGATGCCTTCGTTCTTCAAACAAAAATGGGTTGAGTATCATAGATAAGTCAGGGAAACCTCGTGAGAAAGAAGTGAAAGGATAGATATGATCCCTGCCCTCTTGTGCAGTACGCTATGGAAGGGAAAACAGATATTAAATAAAGAATGTAAGTGTGATGAGGTTTCCAAAAAGAAATATGGGCTGTGCTGAGAACCCATACTAGGGGCACCGATAATGTAAGTGAGCCCTGGTTTGGCTGCTCACCACTCAAAAGCCAGACATGAAAGACAAGGGTGGTGGGAAGAAAAGTCAGTTCATCAAAAAGCCAGTAAACCAATAAGATGGTGAGCTAGCATTTGAAGGTACCATCTTGAATTTTAAAATTTATCACAGTAGTTTTTAAAGAGAAACTTGGTATGGGAGATATGTGGGAGTGGTGTGTGGTGTACAGTCTGTGTGTCTTGCTCTGATGGCTATCTCAGGTAACCGCCTGTCCGGAGGTCTGTTTGGCGTCATCTTAACTTCAGCTAGATGATGGATTCGTTGTTCATGATTCCTTCTAACCAGGAAGATTCTGCAATGGGGGCTCCCTGCCTCGTTTGTTTAAAGATCAGCCTCTGGGATTTTTAAAGCAAGAGTATAATTAGATAAGCATGCATTGCCAGAGGGGAGTATCTAGAGAGGGAAGGAATGAAGAGGTTAGAAGAAAGAAAAGGAAGAAAAAGAAAGTGGGTGAGAGGCGGAGCAAGATGGCAGAATAGAAAGCTCCTCCAATGGTCCCCCTGGCAAGTTAACAACTTTTTCCCTCTGCTTTTCTCAAGCAGGAGTTTTGCCCCATAGCCACCACAAATGCCAAGTTAACAACTATCTGCACAGAAAAGAAAAAACAAAAAATACCTTCATAAGAATCAAAACTCAGGTGAGCACACATAGTACCTGGTTTTAACTTCATATCACTGAAAGAGGCACTGAAGAAATTAAAAATCAGTCCTGAATCATGATGCTACCCCTCCCCTATCCACAGCAGCAGTGGTGTCGCGCAGAGAATGTCTCTGGGCACTGGGAGAAGGAGAATGCATCAATTGTGGGGCATTGAACTCAGTACTGTCCTGTTAGAGGAGAAAGAAAAACCAGACTAAACTCAGCTGATGCCCACTCATAGAGGGAGCATTTAAACCAGCCCTAGCCCAAGGGGAATTGTCAATCCCAGCAGTCCAAACTTGAGTGGCCACAAACCTCACCACCGAGGGCCAAACTTGAAAGGCAGTCTAGGCCTCAAGGACTGCAACTCTTAGGCAAGTCCTAGGGCTGAACAAGGCCCAGAGACCTAGTGGACTGAGGGGACATGTGACATACTGAGATACCATCTGAGGCAGCCAAGGGAGTATTGGCTTCACCCCTCTCCCAATCCTAGGCTGCACAAGTCATAGCTTCAAAAGAGATTTTTTCTTTCTGCTTGAGGAGAGAAGACAGAAGAGTGGGGAGGACTGCCTTACATCTTGGATACCAGTTCAGCTACAGCAGGATAGGGCACTAGTCAGAGTCATAAAGTCCCCATTCCAGGCCCAAGCTCCAAGACAACATTTCTAGACACATCCTAGGCTAGAAGGGAACCCATTGCCTTGAGTGAAAGGACCAGTCCTGGCAGCATTCATCACATGCTAACTGAAAAGCCCTTGGGCCCTGAATAACCAGTAGTGATATCCAGGTACTATGTCAAGGGCCTTGGGTGAGCCTCTGAGACTTGCTGGCTTCAGGTGAGACTCAGCACATTACCAGCTGTGGTGGCTATGGGGCAAAACTCCTGCTTGAGAAAAGCAGAGGGAAAAGTAAACAGGGCTGTATCTTGTTGCACCTTAGGTACCAACACTGCCACAAGGGGGTAGAGCACCAAGTGGGATCTTGGGTTCCCTGATTCTAAGACTTAACTCATAAGTGGCATTTTTGGACCTGCCGTGGGCCAGAGAGAGGCCTATTGCCCTGAAGGGTGAGTCTCAGGCCAGATAGCATTTACCACAAGCTGACTTAAGAGACCTAGGGCCTTAAGGGAACATCCATGGTGGTCTGGTAGCACTCCTTAAGGCTACTGGGGAGCAAGGTGGGCAGTAGTTACAGGGTGAGGATTCTCTGCTTTTGAAAAGGGGAGAGAAGAATGAGAAGGACCACATCTTGTAGGTTGAATGTCTGCTCAGTCACAAGACAATAGACTACAAGGTAGACTTCTAGGTTTTTCACTCTGATCCCTAACTCCCAGATGGCACTTCTGGACCTACCCTGGGGACCTCACCACCCTGAAAGAAAGGACACAGGCCTGGCTGGCTTTGCCATCTGCTGATTGTTGAGCCCCAGGGCCTTCAGCAAACATAGGCAGTAGCCAGGGAGTGGTTACGGCAGGCCTTGGGTAAGACCCAGTGCTGTGCTGGCTTCAGGTCTGACCCAGTGCAGTCATAGTGGTGGTGGCCACAGGGGTGCTTGTGTCACTCCACTCCCAGCTTTAGGTGACTCAGAACAGAAAGAGAGATTCTGTATGTTTGAGAGAAAGTAAAAGAAGAGAACAAGAGGCTCTGCCTGGTAATCCAGAGAATTCTCCCAGATCCTGTCCGAGGCTATCAAGGCAGTACCTCTATGATTCTGCAAGAACCACAGCATTACTGGGTGGGAGGTGCCCCCTAAAGAACAAACAGCTTACATTACAACACCCAAATCCTTTCAAATACCTGGAAATCCTTCCCAATAGGATAGCTACAAATAAGCCCAGACAATGAAGACTACAATAATACCTAACTCTTCAATGCCCAGACATCAAAGAACATCTGCTAGCATCAATACCATCCAGGAAAATGTGACCTCACCAAATGAACTAAATAAGTTACCAGAAACCAATCCTAGAGAAACAGAGATATGTGACCTTTCAGACAGAGAATTCAAAATAGCTATTTGAGGAAACTCAAAGAATTCAAGATAACACAGAGAAGGAATTCAGAATTCTGTCAGATAAATTTAGCAAACAGATTGAAATAATTTTAAGAAATCAAGCAGAAGTTATGGAGCTGAAAAATGCAATTGGCATACTGAAGAATACATCAGAGTCCTTTAATAGCAGAATTGATCAACAGAAGAAAGAATTAGTGAGCTTTAAGACAAGCTATTTGAAAATACATAGTCAGAGGAGACAAAAGAAAATGAAAAACTATGGAGCACAACTATAGGATCTAGAAAACAGCCTCAAATGGATAGGTTTAAGAGTTATTGGACTTAAAGAGGAGGCAGAGAAAGAGATGGAGTAGAAAGCTTATTCAAAGGGAAAATAACAGAGAACTTCCCAAACATAAAGATATTAATATCCAAGCACAAGAAGGTTATAGAACACCAAGCAGATTTAACCCAAAAAAGACTACCTCAGGGCATTTCATA